CGGGGTAGCAAGTAAGTAATTACTTGCAAGCAGTTCTCACATCGACCGAGTGTATTTTCGGAGTCAGACCTGGAGAGTATTCCAAGGTTTGGCTGGTGCAGGATCACCGAAATGGATGTTCCTGATGTTTTGGATGCTATGATATACGTCTTATGTTTAACATGCCTGAGGGAGCTACTGATATTACAGAGGTCTCGCTCCGAGAATTGAGGTTGTCAGACAACACCATGGTTATTTGTCGTGACAAGGTGGACATCGACTTCACTACGATGTATATTCATGTTCAACTTCGCTGTGATGTGTACTCATGTGTATTTCCATTGTGGTGTGTACTGATGTGCACCTTCGACATCAATGTATCGTGCTCTAGGCACCGCCAAGCCTCTTTGCGACTGTCCGGCACCGAGTTTCCCAGAGAGTAGACCGAGAGTGAGATTTTGTGTACATCGGAAGTCCCCCTTGGCTTACATCGAATGTAGTATCTGTTCAGCGATGTAGAGCTTAGCAGGCAGTCGATGGCATGTATGTTCGGACTGTAAACCATGCGAATGCTCAAGGATGTGGGTTCGGTAGCTACAAAAAATTCAGTGGGGGAGGGGGGAGGGGGAGGGGGAGGAGGAGGAGGAGGAGGAGGAGGAGGAGGAGGAGGAGGAGGACGAGGAGGAGGAGGAGGACGAGGAGGAGGAGGAGGAGGAGGAAGAGGAGGAGGAGGAAGGAGGAGGAGGAGGAAGGAGGAGGAGGAGGTGGAGGGGAGGGGGAGGAGGAGGAGGAGGAGGAGGAGGAGGAGGAGGAGGAGGAGGAGGAGAGGAGGAGGAGGACGAGGAGGAGGAGGAGGACGAGGAGGAGGAGGAGGAGGAGGAAGAGGAGGAGGAGGAGGAGGAGGAGGAGGAGGAGGAGGAGGAGGAGGAGGAGGAGGAGGAAGGGGAGGGGGAGGAGGAGGAGGAGGAGGAGGAGGAGGAGGACGAGGAGGAGGAGGAGGAGGTGGACGAGGAAGAGGAGGAGGAGGAGGAGGAGGAGGAGGAGGAGGAGGAGGAAAAACAAATGGCATAATAATAATAATACTAATACTAATAATTAGATCAACAATGCTACGAAGAATAGTAATAGGAGAAAACAGCAAGACTGGTAGGAATCATAATAATAATTCTAATAATGAGAATAGTCAGAATCATAATCATAGTACTCATAAGGAAAATCGTAATACTCATAATAGGAATACTAGTAAGACTACTCATAATGATATTAATAATGCTAATACGAAACATAAGAGGAAAAATATGAATAACAATGCTAAGAGGAATACGAATCATAATGCTAATATTAATACGATTATTAGTAATAGCGATGCTACTAATACTACTACGGCTGCGGATGCGACTAATAATATTATATTAATAACAATACCAAATACTGATACTATTAACAATACTACTAATCATAACAATACCAATGCTAATACTAATATTTCTAATATGAATACTATTAGTAATCATAATAATACCGGTGCTAAGATTAATACCAATACTAATACTAATACTAATACTAATACTAATACGAATACTAATACTCATACTAATACTATTACTAATACTATTACTAATAATACTACTACTAATGCTAATAAGAATGGCACTACTACCAATAAAACTAATACCCGTACTAATCATAATACTAATAGTAGTAATACTTATATTAACAATAATACTAACAATAACGCTACTAATGATACTTATACTTCGCATAACAATGATTCTATTAATCATAATATCTTTTTTAGTACTAATTCTCCAACTACTACTAATAATATTACTATTAGTATTGAGAATCGTAACCAACATTAATCATATTACTAATAATACCAATAATAATACTACTACGTTTAATGTTAACACACATGCGACAAACTAATACGAATACTAAATAATACGGGGGAGAAGAGGGAGAACAGGAGGAGGAGGAGGAGGAGGAGGAGGAGGAGGAGGAGGAGGAGGAGGAGGAGGATTGGAATTCCAGGGCTACCAGTACCTTGGGTAGGCAACCTGGCTCCCTTCACATTCCCTGGGGGGGACGCCTGGCTGCCCCGGATGGCTGCGCGCCGCGCAGCCATTTCGGCCCCCGAGCTTCGCCTCAAGGGGTGGCTCAAGGGTTGGCTCGAGTATCGCTCTGTATTCCTGTTGCCTGGATGGCGGAGGAACTGGCGCAGGCGCCAGGGCTATTGGTAACGTATGTCCAGGCCATCCGTGCCCAAGGGGTCACGAGGCTGGCCCTTTGGAGTCTCACTGTGGAGGAACTCGCGGGCGTGGTTGGGGGGCCGCCGTCCCTGGCCATGCTGGCTTTTCGGAACGACGCGGCCAAGTGGTCTCCAGGCGGCGCTCCGCGCCCCCGCAGTGGAACGATTGGTGAGGTTGTTGCATCGGCCTCGTGTGGCGCTGGCTGAGGGGCTCCGAAGCCAAAGCGTCCACGGCGGGAAAGGGGTTACAATGTGGCAGCTGCGGCCTCAGTTGAACCTGGCGGACCTCGATAAGGAGAGGCGTATGCGGGCGGCCAAGAGGGCTGGGCTACTGCTCTGAGAGCCTGCCCAGTTTGTCTGCCGTGAAGAGTTGGACACCGCGACGCGCTTCCGGCAATCGGAACAGTGGGCGCACTGTTTCGCCAGAGGGGTTAGCGGTGCGGTTCGACGACAAATTGGTCAATCACGCAGTGGCATGCCGGCGGCGGTGGCTTCGCTGGCGGGGAACGCAGTCGATTCGGTTGTCCCCGTCGGCGGCAGGGCCCCTGGCGCTGGAGGTCGCGTGCTTCCTAGACGAGAGGTCGGGGCGAGTGGTCCCGCGGCAGCGCGCGGCGTGCTGTCGGGATTTCGATTTTTGCAACACCATTTTGTGCTCAACCAGCTGCCGGTCGTCTCCCTCTGTTGGCGGGGTATGGCGCATCTCCGCGTGACCACCTGGAGCGGCCGATGGCTAAGGATATCAGCCTGTGGGTGTGGTTTTCCTGCTGTCGGTCGCAGGCGGAGGCGCGGGTGCAGTGTCGTTGTTCGCGGGGCTTGTCGCGCTCCTGCTGGTGGCGACGCTGCGGCTCAAGCGCGCGGCGTTTCGAGTGCGTGCAGGAGCAATGCGCGGCCAGGACGCTTGTGGGCTGTGGCAAAATGCGGGGCGGCCAGCGATTCTCTGTGGCGGTCCCGACGTGCGCGCGCCCGCGCCGTCCGCTGTTCCACTTTCTTCAGGAGGAGCTTCAAGATTACGCCCCGGGCGCGCAGTTCCTGATCCCGGACATGCAGGTCATTCAAGGACGAGGCATCGAAGCCGACGGCGTGGTTCTGGCGAAGCCCATGTCGTTCGCGAAGTTCTCCGCGTGGCTGAGATTCCTGCTAAATTTGCCCGCCGTTATCTCTGACCGCGGAGCAGGCGCAGGGTGTTTCGACGTATTCTCCGCGCAGGAAGCTTCCCGCTGCTGCTGGCTGGCTGTCGCTGCCGATGCTGGGCCGGCCCGCGCTGGGCGACCAGGCCGACGTGGTGATTGCTGGGGAAGTGCGGAAGCAGCGCGCCTGTCATGAGCCGATGGCGGTTCGCTATTCTGACGCCCGCCTGGAGTCTCCGCTGAGGTCCGCCGCGTCATTCTGGCCGCCTTCCACGATGCTGGGTCTCGGGATTGGATGGGGGCGGAGGGCCGCCGTCGGCTGGCATCCTTGGTGCCTGAGTGCAGGGAACAGGTGGGGCGAGATGAGTGAGCTCTCGCGAGCGCCGCGAGCGCTGGGGCCCCCGCGCGGGGCGGGCCTGCGTCGCCTCCGGCGGCCGAGCGCCCGGCGCGGGCTGCGGCCGGAGCGGCGGGCGAGCCCAGTGCGGGGCCCTCGTCTGGTAGCGATTCGGGGGGCGATGCGGGGGCGGGGGCCGCGGCGCCAGCGGAGGTGTCATGGCTGCTCCCGAGGGGGGCCAAGTCATGCCTCCATTTGGCCTCCGGCCGGGTGGGCGACGGCGGACTGCCCGCCCCCTGGTGTCGGAGGTGGACTGGCCGCGCCTTCGCCGAGGGCTTCAAGCAGGGTGCAGGAGTAGACGGCGATGGCGTCTCCGCGATCCTGACGCGCCTGGTGTCGCGCGAGGCCTCTGGCATGCAGGGTGCATGAGGGCGCCCTTCGGCAGGCTGTTCAAGCGCGGCGGAAAAAGTTCATCTGCTCGTCATGCCGCGACCGCCTGTCCGCCCTCTCTCGCCCCTGTCTTGCGCCCCTCCCCACTCAAAGTTCTTGTCCTCCTTCCCGTGTCCACGTCCCCATCTACGTGAAAACCAGAACCTCTGCCTTCCCTCCCAATGTGCCCGGGTTTTGCGTCCATTGTCTCGTTCGCTCCTTGCGGCGCTCGAAGGTGGGCCAATTGGGGAGTCGCTGCCGGCGTTTCGAGGCAAGTCATTCCCAGTGCGCAAGAGGGCCCCAGAAAGGGGCGCGCCATCGCTTGCACCCCTGCCGGACACGTTGGCGAGGGGAACGCGCGCGTAGCTGCAACGCTTGTCCGGGGGTGGCAAGGCTTTCTTTACTGGGGACTTCCGCGACGAGGCTGCCGCCCCTTCCCGCGGGGGCCTTTGGGCGTAGTTAGCCGTGCTTCGCCGGGCACCCGTGCGGGGTCGTTTCTACCCCGCGCAGGGGAAGACGACCGCCGGCAGGCCTCCGGAGGCCTGGGAGCACCTCGGCTCTAGTAGAGGCAGTCGTTTCTGCACAACCGTTCCGTGATCGAGCCGTGGAAGAAAATGACTAGTTGTTGTGCAGGGGCTATGAATCCCGCCGTGGTTTGGGAGTTGCAAGCATTGGGCGGGCAGGCGCGTTCAGAAGGGCGCGCGGCAAGAGCTTCCGTAGCCCGCTGGGCTCAAAATGGCTTTCGCTAGACGCGTGTCCATCCCGCCGCCGCTGACTGCCGCCGCCGCCGCGCCGTGCTTCGTCGCGGCCGCGCCCCTTCCTGACCGAGCTCTGGTGGATCTTGGACAAGGCAGCCGTTCCTGCTGACGTGCGGGAGTTCATGCTTCGGGGTCCTGGGGCCGAGGGCGGTGGTCATGGCATGGCGTCGGCGAGCGATTGTGCGAACTGCTTCGCGGCGCGCGACAGCAGGTGCGAGCTGGGGGCCCAGTGCAAGATTCTGGACAAGGCGTGCGGGGCCAAGTGCGAGGACGACGCAGCGGTCCGCGGCCGCCTCCGCGCCGACTGGGAGGTCGCCGAGGCGGAGTTCGACGGGGCGGCCCCCCGTGTCTCGGGCGACAGGGCCGACGCTAATTGGGGCGGGCCTCTTCCGCAGGAAGAGCAGAAACAGCGGGCTGGCGACTTCGCTGCGGCCTGCGATGACTTGCTTCTCCTTCGCGAGCGACCAGATGCCGATGCGCCCCCTGGTCTGCCGCGTGGCGCGGGAGTTCAAGTCGTCAGACCAGCGCGTGTCCCTGATGGATGCGAAGCGCATCCGGTCCGAGGCGCAGTTGAAGCCCGCCGTCCCCTGCGACGACCGCGGCCCTGGGGCGGCGCGCGGCCCTGTTGGCGGGGGGCGGGCCCGTGCCCCCTCCGGCGCGCGCCCGCGAGGGCCGGGCCGGCTTCTTGGAGTCGCGCAGGCTCGCGCCCGTCTTCTGGGCCATGGCTGGGGCGTCCATGGCGGGGAACCGCGCGCGACGCCTGGTAGAAAGTGCGGCAGCGCCGCTTGGGCGAGGCCCTGGCGCGCGCGCGTTTCGCGCCGGGCAATGCGCGGGAGCGCGGCTCGTCGGCGCCCGGGCGCCCCGAGTGGCTCGTGGCCGACGACCTCGCCGCGAGAGTCGCTGCCGAGAAGTTCCCCCGCCAGGGTTGCCCCCTTGGGGCGAGGCCGCGAAGGTTGAGGGGGTTCGACGGGGAGTGCTTTTCGGTGGGGCATTGCCGCGGGCGGCAAAAGGCAGATCAAGCCCGGGGAGGAGAAAGCTGCCGCCCTGTGGGCCGCCGCTCCCGGCCCGGCGAGAGGCGCCATGCGCCCCGCGGGTGGCGGCCAGGCGGCGGGCTCCTTTGCCGAGGAGAGGTGGCCCGACTTCAACTCCGCCAAGGGCTGTGCGAAGAAGGAGGAGGCCTGCCCGCGCCGGGCGGCCCACCTCTGCGCGAAGTGTGGCCGCTGGGGCCATGGGGCGCGCGAGTGCAGGACGCGTGGGCAGAGAGCCATGGGCCCGGGAGCAGGCGCTCGGAGAGCCGCGGGGGGGCAAATTTCGACGTCGAGGCCCCGTCGCGCGCCTAGGCCTCGTGCCGATGACGTCGCGAAGGGCCGGGCCGCTGGGCCCCCCTCGTAGGGGGCTGCCAGGGCGTGGGCGGTGGAGCTGGAAGCTCAAGGGTGGCTGGGGCGATTCCAGTACAGCCTTGGGCTCCGCCTGGCCGCTTCGCGGTGCTGGCCGCGCGGCCAGCTCCGCAGCCAGATCCCCCTGGAGGGTGACTGGCGCGGGGCGCCAGGGCCGGGCCAAGGTTTTCCCAAACCAAACGGGTCTTCCCAAACCAAATGTTGCGGAATCAGAACGCCGGGTCTTCCCAAACCAAGCCCAGGTCTTCCCAAACCACACGGGTCTTCCCGAACCAACACCCCCGGGTCTTCCCAAACCAACCGGGTCTTCCCAAACCGACTCTCCGGGTCTTCCCAGACCAAACGGGTCTTGCCAAACCAACATCCAGGTCTTCCCGATACAACCGGGTCTTCCCAAACCAACTCCCCGGGTCTTCCCAAACCAAACGGGTTTTCCCAAACCAACCGGGTCTTCCCAAACCAACCTCCGGGTCTTCCCGAACCAACGGGGTCTTCCCAAACCAACTCCCCGGATCTTCCCAAACCAAACGGGTCTTCCCAAACCAGCCGGGTCTTCCCGAACCAACTTCCGGGTCGTCCCAGACCAGCCGGGTCTTCCCAAACCAATTCTCCGGGTCTTCTCAAACCAGCCGGGTCTTCCCGAACCAACTCTCTGGGTTTTCCCAAACAAAACGGGTCTCTCCAAATTGGCCACGTCGACGGGGCAGCGACCGCAGCCCAAGCGTTCAAGGTTTAAGCAGAAGTATCCCAGCGCGACCCTACTCAGGAGTTGGAGCCTCTGGGAAAGCAACACTAGTAGGAGCGGTAAACGCCGTCCCCCTCCTTCTCCTCATCGTCGGATTTGTAGTAGTAGCGGTATTGTTATTATTATTATTACTAGTAGTAGTAGTACCAGCAGTACTAGTACTA